CGGTACGGATAACAAACAGTACGCAGCACTTGCAGTGAACGTAGAAAACGTAGATGCAAATTGTAGTGTAGTTTATACGAGTCAGTTGGGTAGGACACATATTTCGCTCATAAAAGGGCGCATAAATCACATGATACGCATACGACTGCGAGAGCAAGCGCAGAGCACAGAAAGATACGGTGAAGAGGTCGCAGACGAAATACGGCGCTAGGAACGCAGATGGTGAGTGGTGACCCTTATCACAGGAGGCGGAACATATGCATTTTGCAATCGAAGTTGATATCCACCTGGTACTTCAATGTGTTTTGCATAATGCAGCCGATATCGTTACACTCATGCTAGGGGGTGAAGTGGAAGAGAGATGCATTTGCTTTTTTAGCACCTATTGTTCATCATTCATCATTTTTCCTTCTGCAAGTTGTAGAGTTTGACGGGCATTCGCTCCCGATAAATGAACAAGGAAAGGGCACATTTCAAACGGCTTGCGATCCATACATTCTAGGTATTACTCACCCAGCACAAAACCTTTTCGTAGATAACTCACAGTATGATATATATCTAACCCTCGCCCTGGCAGGGCCTTTTTCATAACACGGCCTGGCAGGGGGGGGGGGGTCGATGCGACCCCCCCCCCTCGCGATTGGCTCCTATGGCACCTAGAAACACCAAATTTGGTAGGTAGGTGGGCCCCATGGAGTTCTCGCCCCTGTACAAATTTGGTTGTTCTAGGTCAATATTTAGGGGGGTTTTGGGGGGTATAAATGTAAAAATTTCGCTAAAAACAGGTCAAAAGTTTTTCGCTTATAACTTTTGATCTAATTAAGATAGAGCAAAAAGAAAAGCACCAGTGAACTCAGCACGTCAAGGCGCGTCGAATGATATACTTTTTAGCTTGCTTAAGTGTACTTAAAGTTTTTCTTAATTTTTAAGTAAACTTTAATTAACTAATTAAGTTCAAATTAACCAAATTGCATCATATCGCATATCATTCGATTCGGCTGATCACCAGGAACACAATGACACCATTTTTTAAGCTCTAGCGTCATTATGTGCCAAGTTATTGGAAAAAATGTGATTTGACCTCAGTTGACCTCATTTGACCTGACCCATGGATAAGTACACCAAACAAAGAAGCACCAAGTGACCTGCTGTTAAGTACTGTGGTTTCAAAGCACAAAAGTGATAGAACGAAGCGGATATCTCCAGTATTTTCCGAATTTAGTATTTTCCCATAGGCTTACCATTACGACGCAATGACCTCTAACTGACCTCAGGTCAGTGACATCAAAAAACCCGAACTATATGTTATACAACTCGGTGAACTTAGCACATCCTGAAAGTTTGAAGGAAATCAGTCGAAAACTGTGAGTTGTACAGGTGCAAAAAGAAAGTTGAAATTTGACCATGACCTTGTACCGGTTTTTCTGACCTGGTGACCTGACCCAAGGTCACCCGGACCTGAAAATTTCAGGTCATATGTAAAAAGGTTGCCCCATAGGCTGTGCCAAATTTGGCGGCGCTGCGCGCCGCCGTTTTTACGCTATCTTCGAAAAACCTTAGGGGGGGGTCGCATCGACCCCCCCCTGCCAGGGCGAGGGCTAAGCTTCAAAACAAACGCAATGTGACCATGTTGAGCTTCCAATCCCTTACTAATACAAAATGCATAAATAATATTGAAGGAATAAAATAAAATTATACTTGCCTCAGCTATACCGTTGACAGATGCGACTTTGAGCAGGTACGGCTCTCGCGAGATTAACCTTCCAGGCGGTGGGGGGGGGGGGGCATTTTTTTGCCCCCCTCTAGTTTTTTCAATATATCTCGAGAACCGCTGCGCCGATCGTCACCAAACTTTCAGTACCCTCCCGGGAGCAGCTAGCGCACATGGTGACCAAAATTTTTTTCCAAAGGTTATGATAGGTTGGCCGCTAATGACGTCAAAGTGACGTCATTTTTGCCATTTCGACCCAAAAAAGGTTTCGCGGGAAGAGCTGTCAGGCCTACAGCTTTAGAGATACAGAAAAATGTTTCAGACATAAAAGGTGTGGAATCAAAAGGGCTACAAAACTGCTATTTCGGTTTTTGAATTTGTTGGATTTTGACCCCCAAAAATAAAAAATAAATTTTTTGAATATAATAGCCAAAAAATCAGAAAAGTGTTTTGAATTTCGAAAAAACCGGAATATATGTGATAGTCCCTACCGCCTTCTATATACATACCAAATTTGAGATCGATATCTCTTTTTTTGGCCAAGTTATAGCGAAAAATTGTTCAAAATTGATGACGTCAAATTTTCAAACTCAATTTTTAGCAATTCTAGACCTCGTAGCGCAAAACAAAGACCACCATTAGACTCCCCGTGACGAGCTGCATCGACTCGATATCCATTTTATGCAAAAATATCAACTTTGAAATTTGACCTTTTTTGACCTGACCTTGACCTGACCTCCACCAGAAAGTGGCCTAAACCGTACCTGATGGTCTTATAACCAGCACCATTGAGTTGGAAATGAAAAACTGGCCATAAAACATGCATCGCATAACCTTAGTAAAGTTGGGCTCATGTGGTGACCCTTGGTGACCTTTGGTGACCTGACCTGTGACCTGACCTGGTATGACCAGTGACCTCTAATAGCAACATATGTACTAGACAACTGACGCCTTATCGCTGATTTTCGACAAAATGCGTTTTACTCGGTGTTATAGCGCTTTCCCTAGAAGCCCCGTGAACGGTGAAACATTTTATCTTTGACCTGACCTGTGACGTCATCGGTGACCCCGAGGTCAATGAAATTTGGTTTCCTTCAACAAATTTGACAGGGCTATCGACGTTTGAATTTTCCGGATCCGTCCAGTAGTTTCGGAGATACGGGGGGGGGGCAAAAAATGCCCCCCCCCCCCACCGCGCGGAAGGTGGCTGGTAGGCCCACCGCCTGCCGGGTTAAGCGGTAGGTTTTGCACTTTCACATTTCCGGTTATATCTCAGAAACTAATCGATGTACGATGAAGCCATTTTACACGATCAAGGCCGGCTTGTTACCCAATAAGTCGATCGCATCTTCAACACTCAAAAGCTTAAGACGACGAAGATATAGCCTAAAGTTCACTAAATTTTCTAGGTGCAAAACCTACCGCTAAAACCCGCGAGACGTGTACATACATACTTATTAGTCTGACGATATGTTTTCATCATTTAGTGGCACAACTCAGTAATCAATAAGGTCAAATGAAACTCTTTTCATTTCAACTATCCCCCTTCTTTCTATACCCTCTCTCCTCTCTATTCGTTCATCACCTCCGCTTTACCTCAGCCGCGCTCTATCTCGGCTTGCTCTGCTAAACACAATCGACACCACATAATACTGGTACTATCTGCTAATGATGGGATCACCAGCACCAATTGTGTGCCGCCGCAAAACACACCGCTTTGCCACCAAACAGGCTTTATCTGGGCATTAGGGCGGACGCGGTCCGGCGCAGCGCGGCGTGTCGCGGCGCACTGCGGCGTGGTGCGGCGCACTGCGGTCTGATGTGGCGCACAGTGTCGCACCGAGGGGGTGCACCACCAGGCGGGGTACACCAACGGGGGGTCAGGCCGCACAAATTGTCCCTAATGAGATTATGAGTGGATTACCAGAAAAGCGGCCGCCTCGCGGCGTATTACAAGCTGCCGCTGCTCTGGTTGAAGCGAGGGGAGAGGGAAAGAGGGGGAGAGACAGATGAACCCGACCGACAATATAACTGCCGTCGGCTGTGACGAATTTAGGGGCTCTCATAGGGACGAATGGTTATCGATTTCTGTCAATGTGATAGGCATTGTCACCTTTTAGACAGAACGGCGGAAATCACATATGAAAATATTCCGACTGCAACAAGCTTTTTTAACGTTGACGATGCAGCAGCCGCTCAATGTGCAAAAGCATTTACGATTAGTCCATAAAAAATCGATTTGCTGCGTGTCTCAGACTGTGTTGCGCTATTCGAGTTTTGATGGGAATAGTTGTGCTGTGTCCCGGTCCCTCCGTCCGTCAACTTCGGGTTTCGGTACTCACCTTCAAACAGCTCTTTCTTCATGCAAGTAACTGTAACATGCAAGTAACTTCATGCAAGTTATTGATTAGGTTTCCTGAGAAAGGACACATATTTGACAGATTATGGACATGCTAATATGCTTATGGTGCATGCTTATGGACATGAAAACAAATAGGTAGGGCCAAGGCATAAAACTTAATTGTTTATATGTAGAAGCCTGACAAAAGTTAACAATCAAAACTGCAAGTGTCCATTTTTCTACACTGAAAGCAAGTTCATCCCAAGGCGGAAAGTAAGCCCCAGCGATGCGCCTATTCAAATCCGCAGAAATTTTTAACCATTGGCAGGCTGGCAACGTTACTTTTGTTCTAGATTTCCAGGCTTACATAGATCCGACAACGGGTAGGAATGAAGACAAAAACGTGGGAAGTGACGAAACTTACCGACCATAATATGGTCCTCTCAGCTCGTCGAGCTGAGTCGAATGGTATAAAAATCTCAACTTCGAAAAATTTGACACTAAGGATGTTCTTGCTTGGAACTGTCGCTATCAAAGAGCATGATAATGAAGTACGATCTCATACACTTCCACTGTCTCACACACTGTTTTCTTCTTTCTACGAGTAAGCCGAGCGCTTCCAGTAACACGTCAGCTTCATTTCCACACACATCTCATTTTGATGCTCAGAGCGGCCGGTCGCCCTGCCAGAGGATCAGACAGTCACTTGAGTCACACGAAGGTCAGGGTCACTCCAGGGGACGGCGAACGAAATAGATCATACGAGCGAGTAACCGTCAGGAGCCGTCTTTCCGTTTAGTCAGGGGAGGAGCTTACTCGCAAGTCTGAGTGGCGGGGAGGGCAAAGGAATGGAATTAGAAAAAATCATGTTTCGGCATCGGCTATAAAGAAATGGTCCGGTTTGACTAGCTATACCAACCCAATACACTTGTCCATGCTCACCAATTATTTTTGCATTTGCTGTATATTGTTCTAAATACATGTATCACATTTACAACGACCGCACATGCCGAATCTTTTAGCTTTGCCACAGTAGCAATATGTCACTATAATTGTCTACACAGGCTATTTGTGTTCAGTTCCTTGCGGCAAATGTTCATTATAAAAGCATCGTCTCTTGAACGTTTCTGCCTACATACAAGTGCTTAGGTTTCTCATTTTGCCACTAATATAAATATTACCCAATAAGTTAACTGCTCGATTTCTTTTATCATAAGCAGCTTGTAATGCCCACAAGTCAAAAGTTATGGTTTGAAAATGGCAGATGACAGTAACGCATCAGCAAAATACAAAAACAAATGCAGGAGATGGGTAAATACAAACATACATACAAACTGCCCATGTATGTACAACACGCCATTATAACTTCTCCAACTTCCCATAACGCCAGGGAAAGTTTCAGCGATTCTCTGTCGGATATTTAGGGGCCCGTATGTACGAACTAAATGACACTAGTTTGCTCTACATCTACCGCACAACTGAAGTACAACGGCAGCAATATAAGCACATTACGATAAGCGCTGCTAGAGCCGAGTCAGTCCGTTTATGGAGGCTAGACAACTGACATTCAGTCTTATCACTAACCAAATGCAATGAAATGAATGAAATGAATGAAATGAATGAAATGAATGAAATGAATGAATGCATTGATGCAATGAAATGAATGAAATGAATGAAATGAATGAAATGAATGAAATGAATGAAATGAATGAAATGAATGAAATGAATGAAATGAATGAAATGAATGAATGCATTGATGCAATGAAATGAATGAAATGAATGAAATGAATGAAATGAATGAAATGAATGAAATATAATTGTACAATAGTGTCATGAAAGAAAAGCATTAAGGTGACAACTGACACATTAGCCGTTTTCACGACGGCCATTTGGTACACATTTGGTGCACATCTGGTAAAGACAGGTGCAGATTTGGTCAAATCAGGTTCAGTGTGTCTCTTAGTAGCTATCAGCTAGGGTTGCACTATTTGCTATATGCCTGCTTTATCATATTATCAGAGAGTATCATCGATTAAAACACTGAAATAAATTTATAAAATAAAGATATTTGCTGTAAAAGAAATTAGGTGCAGATTTGGTCAAATCAGGTGCACTCGCCGGATAGCCCGTCGTGAAAACGGCTATTGTCTTCTTCCATAGGTGCCCGTAAACGGTTGATAGCGACGCTCGCTAAATGTAGGTGACAAACACCGGGACAATATTCAATGCCGGGACCATGCCGGGAAAATATTTTACAAATCCGTCCAGCGGAAATCGGACCCGTCAAGTCCTTCACATCACATTTACACCAAAGTCATTATCAGAAAGCTCGCTGCGAGGGGCGGCCTGTTTCGCTGTATCAGCCGGAGGTCCACCCAGTGCCCACCACGGCACACGGTCTCGGCGTGTGAGCCCGACGCGCATTCTACAGATATGGCTCGGTGCCTCTCCAGTCGATGGAGGCCTCTGGCCACCTGGCGGACAAACGCAGAAGCTTTAGCAGAGGGCAGCACAGGATTCGCTGGTGGCAGCACGTGCGCTTTCATCTGGGTTGGGTACGACCGGTACCACGATAGGGTAGGATAGGTATGTACAGTCACCAGCACTTGCTACTAATCACCTCGTTTTTGCTCAGTAGTTTGAAGACCGATCAATTCTCAGTCGAGCAAGATACGTCAAACGATCGGTTTGGTCCTCCGATTTTCGAATATCTAACTTGTTTTTGTATGTTCGAAGCATTTTGGGATGAGGAGCCAAAAAACGTCTTTTCTGCCCTAAAGTTGCCCCAAGAAGTCGTAGAACCTAGCCCCGCCTCTGATCCACAGACCACTAGTGCCATCTCTTGTCAGCCGAACAAACCGCAGAAGTAAATAATGTCACGTGACCTTTGCACACGCTACAATTACTACGCAGTTGTAGTGGGGGAAGCGGGGCGGAGGCGTGGAGAGGGACGCGATCGGTCCGGTCGGCTGGGGTCAGGTCGCCGAGGTCGGAGGTCATCCGCCGGAGGGTGTTTGGGCGGTTGAGCCGTGTGGGCTGGGGCTTGCGGAGTGGGGAGCGCCTGGGCCTGTCTGGAAACAAGTTCTACAACGCTGTGGCAGTCGAGAATATTGTGAGGAAAGAGAGAGAGAGAGAGAGAGAGAGAGAGAGAGAGAGAGGGAGGGAGAGAGAGAGGAGAGAGAGAGTGGAAGAGAAAGAGGGAGATAGAGGGAGAGGGAGAGAGCGGGAGAGAGAGGGAGAGAGAGGGAGAGGGAGAGGGAGAGAGAGGGGAGAGAGGGAGAGAGAGAGGAAGAGCGAGAGAAAGAGAGAGGAGAGAGAGAGTGGAAGAGAAACAGGGAGAGAGAGGGAGAGAGAGGGAGAGAGAGTGCGATGGAGAGAGAGGGAGAGAGAGAAAGAGGAGAGAGAGTGGAAGAGAGAGAGGGAGGGAGAGAGAGAGAGAGTGAGGGAGAGAGGGAGATAGGGAGAGAGAGAGAGGGAGAGAGAGAGAGAGAGAGAGAGAGATAGAGAGAGAGAGAAGAAAGACTGGAGGGAAGGGATAAGGACGGGAAGAGTAAAAAGAGAGACAGAAAAGGAAAACCAGGAAGGGTAAAATGAGAGAGAGGGTAGGTAATGGGTAAATCAGTGAGAGGGAGCGAGAGAGAAAATATTTAGTTGTGTCAGCTTGTTTCGCATGTAAAATGTAAATTTGCTTTCCATCATTTCAGCTTCGGAATTGGAAATTAAATCTTAGCATCCTTATGATAAACCTACGCTGACGGGATGGGGACGTTTTTATGGTCGTCGTTGGGAGCTCGGCACTAATGGGGATGATGTTGAGGGTTTCGCAAATATTTCATATAATATTTCATAGTTAAGAGATGATATTTCTTGCATCACCTATTAAGCATTTTTTTTACGTTTGCTATGAAAATGTTAGGCCCATTTCATCCCGAGTGCTGAGGGGGGGGGGGCGTTTCACGCCCCTCCGTCTAACTCGGCTCCTGGGCCACGTAGAGCGACACGCGGTAAGCGGCAATCGAAAGAGCGTCAAAAATAAGAAGGAAAACACTCGGTCATTTTAAGGTTAGGGCAAAGTTCAGGTCACCAGAGCTCATCAAAGGCAAATTTTGTCGATTTCAACGATTTAAAACATTCGACGGCTAACTCTGGAACCAATAGAGCTACAGCGCCGTGGAAAAGCGCATTCGATAGCTCTTTTAACGCTCTTTCGCCAACATGTCCTCAATTTTGACCTCAGATCAACGGTTAAGCCCCCAGAGGGCACCACTCTGATTGACCTCAGATTTGACCTCAGATCAACGGTTTAGCCCCCGTGTTTTCACTGCTCTAACACGTCTCTGTCAAATCAAAAGTTATAGTAAAAAAAACTGCTGAAGACCTTTCATGACCTGAGATGACCTCAGGGGCACACAAAGGGGGCACAGGTGCAATTTTCCGATTCAGAGTGTCATGTTTACATATGAACCGATGTTTGAGAGGGTGTGGAACGACATTCGGCCAAAAGAGGCTCATTTCAATTTTCTCACATTGGCTTATATGGAGCTGTCGCAAAATTGACCTGACCTTAGGTCACAACTCACAGATATAAAAAAATCCGAGATATCCATTTTATACATACACTGAAAAAAATAATGACACCTAAAAGGGGTGTTTTTTGAAGCGTACCAAAAACGCGCAGTTTTCTGGAGTCCGATTACACGCGGAATCAGACACGTTCTAGAGTATTATGACACTGGTTGAGGGTGTATTTTTATACCGTACGGCGTCAAATGATTCCCGGAATCATACGCCTTATGGAATAAAAATACACCCCAAATCAGAGTCATAATACTCTAGGAAGTGTCTGATTCCGGGTGTAATCTGACTCCTGGAAACTGCGCGTTTTTGGTACGCTTCAAAAAACACCCCTTTTAGGTGTCACTTCAGGGAGTAATCGGATTTTGAGGGTGTATTTTGATCCCACACGGTGTGTGATTCCGGGAATCATTTGACGACATGTGGTATAAAATACACTCCCAACCAGAGTCAGATTACCTCGGGGGTGTCTGATTCCGGGTGTAATCAGACTCCTGGAAACTGCGCGTTTTTGGTACGCTTCAAAAAACACCCCTCGTAGGTGTCACCTCAACGGTGTCAAATGACTCTTGGGATGGTTTTCTATACCGGCTCAGAGCCTGTTCCTGTTAGCGTCATACATCAGCTAATATCAATATTACCAGTACTATTGGTCAGGGTCTCCTATATAAGAAATACCGGTAATATTCGAGTGCGGGGATTGGGTTGTGTGCAGGGGTGAGGGATGCACTCGAACCGAGCTGCGGCGAGGGTATAAAGGGTATATTCATCGCATCAGAAAAACAGGTCGCCTGGGCCCTTATCTTGAGACCAATAGTATGGTACAACTAACCAACATACCCATGGGTATGTTCTGCTTCTGAAGCTTATAGGAACGATTAGCCAGACTGCAACGAGACTTTAAATGTAGCTTACATGTGTCTTCACCCTTGCAGCTACAATTTCATCTATTGACGATGACGTCTTCTTTTCAATCAGTCTTTATACCAGGTATTGTCAAATGATTCTCGGAATCATACACCTTATGGGATCAAAATACACTCTCCAACAGAGTCATAATTGCAGTTGTTAACCACGTGACGCAAATTAACAATACATGCATGTCATTCTTTATTTTATATATGCAACAATAAATTCCAAAACATTTGGGCACGAAATGTATGGCGAAATCTAATGAAAACTTATCGTAAGGCTCATGGGTCCGTGACTCCATTCACCGTAAGGAATTACTCACATTTCAACAATGTTCCATCAACCGGTGATTATTGCTACTTACTTACGTAGTTATTCTGCAGCTTAATGACATAAAAACTTACCTCCGTCTCCATGGTGCGTTGCTATCTTGTCCTACTTCAAAATTTCGCTGAGTGCAGGGCGCCTCGTTGTTTAAATACGCATATTGAGCAAACTACAAATAATATCTGACGTTTATCGTTAAAGCACTATTACTTGAAGTAAATCTACACTTTAAACAACGTTTGGCGACATTAAAAGCGCGTTAATTCAAATAAGTTCCTCTCCCCACTCACACCACACGCACCCACGTGGGCACACTTCCGGCAACTGAAGTCAACGGCTTTCCTAACGGTTTTCCTGCAAGGTCGAGCTAGTTCATCTTCGTGGCGGACCGGCATGGCTAGAACACAAATGACGTCACACGACAATGCAGCTTGCTGATTGGCCGGGCATTGACTCAAACCACTGGACCTGAGCTGTGGTTCGCCCCAGGGTTACAGAGTCAGAGTCAGAGTCGGGTGGAGTTGACAGTTGTGGCCGGAGTCAGAGTCGGAGTCGACGGCGACTTTGGAAGCCGGAGCTGGAGTCGGAGTCTGGGTCACCGAAAATCAATTGATACCGCAGCGTATCCGGAAAAATCTTTGCATGCATGGGCATTTCTTCGTCGCGCAATTCTTTGTCCGCAAAACTTCGTCCGCTCATTTCTTCGTCCGTGCATTTCTTCGTCTCGCATTTCTTCGTCTCGCATTTCTTCGTCCGAGCATTTCCTCGTCTCCGCATTTCTTCGTCCGCGCATTTCTTTGTCTCGCATTTCTTCGTCTCGCATTTCTTCGTTTCGCATTTCTTCGTCTCGCATTTCTTCGTCTCGCATTTCTTCGCCTCGCATGTCTTCGTCTTGCATGTCTTCGTCTCGCATTTCTTCGTCTCGCATTTCTTCGTCTCGCATTTCTTCGTCTCGCATTTCTTCGTCTCCGTATTTTTTCGTCTCGCATTTCTCCGTCCGCACATTTCTTCGTCTCCGCATTTCTTCGTCTCGTATTTTTCCGCAAATCTTCGTCCGCAAATTGACAGTGCAGCCTGCTGATTGGGCTATTGCCTATTTCATCTTCGTAGCGGACCAGCCATGGCTAGCTCACACATGACGTCACTCGGGGCATTAAATTCAAATCACTGAACCTACACCAGGGTTACGGAGTCAGAGTCGGAGTCCGTTGGAGTCGACAGTTCTGGCCGTAGTCGGAGTCGGTTGGAAACGACAGTTCTGGCTGTAGTCGGAGTCTGAGTCGATATTGGAAGCCGGAGCTGGATTCGAAGTCTGATTCACCGAAAATCTCTTGACTCTGCAGTGTTGGTTGGTTCCTATAGGAACCAACACTGCAGAGTCAAGAGTTGGTGGTATACCACCAGTGACGTCAAAACAATTTCTGTAATAATTTAGTGTTTTTTGATACTATCATGTGGAGTTTTTGAACCCTATGGGTGTCATTTCACTTAGTTGAGCGTTTTCGTAATCCGTGACTCGCTTATTAGGTGTAATTTGACCCTCAGTGGTGCCATAATATTCCGGTGTCATTTGAACCCAATGGGCTCAAATGACACTGGAATATTATGACACTACCGAGGGTCAAATTACACTCAATAAGTCATTTGAACGGAATATTATGACACCACTGAGGATCAAATTACACCTAATAAGGGAATCACGGATTGTGAAAACGCTCAACTGTGTGAAATGACACCTATAGGATATAAAAACTCCTCATGATAGCGTCAAAAACGCTTAGATGTGTTATTTTACACTGACACCGTGCATGATCTTTTGACACGACACCTAAAATGGGAGTCAAAATTTTGGGAATGACCCTTGGGTATGTGATTCTGACCGAGATCAATTTACACTAAAAAACGATGTATGGACACTGTTTTTCAGAATCGGATTACACCATGGGTGTCAGTTGATTCCCAAATAGGGGATCGTGATTCCCGGGGGGAGTAATTATTTTTCTCCGTGTACTGTTACCCTAGGCAAGTACTGAAAGTTTCAAAGTGATCGCTCAGTCGGTGTAACTACAGCGAGCTTTCTAACCTTTTCTGAGGTAAGGTCACTTGGCGTTACATGGTGACCTGACCTTGAATGACCGGGATCTGAAATTTTCATAGCATGTGCGAAAAAGATGTCGGAACGGGTGTAGGTATCTAAAACAGCGGCGCTACGCGTCGCCGTTTTTGAGATATTCGCGAAAAATCTAGGGGGGCGTAAAAACGCCCCCCCCCCAGGACGGCGCGGATCAAACGGCCCCTGAGACCTCGGGATGGTGCCCCTGAGACCTGGGGATGGTGCCCTTGAGACTTCGAGATGGTGCCCCCTCAGACCCGGGGAGAGTGCTCCTTCAGACCTCGGATTTCGGAAAAGTGCCACTGGAAACTTGGAATGGTGCCCCCGGAGACCTCGGGATGGTGCCTCCAGACCTCGCGATGGTGCCGCCGGAGACCTTGGGATGGTGCCCCGGACCCTCGAGATGGTGCCCTCTCCGACCTTGGGATGGTGCCTGCGGAGAACTCGGGATAGTGCCCCCTGAGAACTCGAGATGGTGCCCCCGCGGACCTCGGGATGGAAATAGATGGACAATATTAAACTAAAAACTAAAAACTCAACTAAACTAAAAAAAAAAACCCGAGGCGAGGGACAGAAATGGGACTCCGGGAGACCCCGAAAACGGTACCCTATTCCGATAGACCTTCTGGATGGTGCCCCCTTAGGAGACCTCTGGGTTAAAGCTCCCGTCGGTGACCTCCGTGATGAATTAAAAAAAAAACTCCGTGATGGGCCCCCGGGAGGCCCAAGGGGGGGGGGGAGAATGGCCCCCATGGCCTCTCTCTGGATCCGCCACTGAAATGATCTGGCCCAAGATCTTACCTAAAAACAACCAAAAGCCTTCCTTCATTGTCCGAACACCGCTGACAGTTGATAGCTCAATAACACTAGAGCCGTGCATAAGGAGGCGTGAAAACACTCCTCATCTCGATCTATTACGAGAGGACCATGTCATGGCGTGAGAAAGGTGTTCTCAAAATAGATGACACTGTATGAATGAGTAAATAATTCGCGCCCCGTTGGGCTATTGGCGGACCCTACCACCTGATGGGGTGGTGCAGCCGTTTCGTCCTCCAACTGAGATCTCGGAAAGTTACCGACCGATTTTGAAAATTCGAAGAACGTTCGATAGCCCCACCAGGGGCTATCGAACATTGTTACCAGGTTTCGTTGACCTAGGTGCAACCCATAACGTCACAAGTCAGGTCAAAGGTTGCATTTTTTCACCGATTTAGTCTAAGGAATGCGTTACAGTCAGTTAACACATCAAATAAAAGGCATGTTATCGAAAAACATCGATGGAGCGTGGTTGCCCAATACATATGTTGCCTAAAGAGGTAACTGATGCCAGGTCAGATCAAAGAGGTCAGGTCACTAAGGGTCACAATATGAACCCAACTATGCTAATTGCTAGGGTCGCGTGATACATGTTTTATGGTCAATTTTACATTTAAAGTTCAATGGTGTGGGCTAGACGGCCATTGGGGCCGGTTTAGATTACGTTCTGGTGGAGGTCAGGTCAAGGTCAGGTCAAAAAAGGTTAAATTTCATAGTTGATATTTTGCATAAAAGGGGTATCTATTCGATGCAGCTCATCACGGGAAATCCAATGGTGCTCTTTGGCTTGCTCTGTGTGTTCTGTGACGGCTAAAAATTGAGTTTGAAAATTTTACGTAATACATTTTGAGTAGTTTTTTTTGTCATAACTTTGCTAAAAATGGAGCTGTCGAGTTTAAGTTTGGCATAGCTAGAGCAGATAGTTCTATAACATATATTCCAACTTTAATTTTGAACGTTGTTGGTATTTTCGGGGTGTTATACTTCTATAGTTTTGATGGTCGAAAACAATTTTTGTTTAGAAATCAGAGTTGGCAGTTTTGTAGCGCTGCCTATTTTACATCTTTTTTATCTTGAATGCCTATTTTTTGTGATCTTCAAAACTGTAAGCGTGACAGCTCTTCCCGCTAAACCTTTTATTGGGTCGAAAATGACAGAACATGACGTCACTCTGACGTCATTTGTGACTAACCTTTCATAAGAGCTCTGGAAAAAGTTGGTCACAAGGTGTAAAATGATGCCCGGAGGGGTCTTGAAAGTTTGGTGGCGACCTACGCTATACTTTAGGAGATATCGACTGAAAAGGAGATGGGGCTCTTTCGCGCCCCCCTCCCCCCAACGGGGCTCGAGGCTTTCAGCTGTTGCTCTCACATTGGTTACATTACAACGTAGTGGAATTGCAAGCTTGGCAATATAAGCTTTCTGCCAGCGCCGGACCCGAGTTTAAACATGCAGGCTGAATTTTAACATTTGACTTTTAAATTTTTACCGTTGAGCTTTTTAGAAGTTGTATGAACTGTTCAGCTCCTTCTTTGGTCCATCACAGCGGGCTTGTATGTCATTTGTCAATCAAAATCGAATTAAAAACTTTTTATTGGGTCTGGTTATCTCGCCAACTAGGGGAAGCGGGGGTAGCACCGCCATGTGGGCAACACCGCCATCCCCTTTATCGGCAAAACTCTGAACTGTAAATGTAAACATCCGCCATTTCGGTGTCCGAACGGAAGCGGGGCGCCGCGTGAGTTAGGTTTCGCTAAGATTTATTTGATTTTAAGATCGCAATTGCCCATTTTGTGAATTTCTTACCATCGTTGTAATCATTTGGCATGTTTTAGCAGCAAGTAAGTGGTCATTTCATGTCAAAATACCTCGATTTTTACCTTAAATTTGAGGGCATGAAGTGCGCTTCGTTGAGAAAGGAATTACAGAAGAATCGCGTCCCGGCTTGTTTTCCAGTCGGGGCGTTGCCAGTCCCTGACTGTGTGTGGGGTAACACCGCCATGTTCGGCGGTGCTACCCCAAGGAGTGGCAAAGTGGATAAAGCCGCAAGGATGACTCACTCAGCTCGGAGAAGAGCTTTAGTTATGCCGCAAGGCGCAAACGTCGTTTGTTTTTTAACCTCACGTTCAACTTCACTGGATGTTTCGAAATAAACGTGAATTTTCCTTCACCTTTGTATGCATAGGTATTGTCGGCACCAAACAGTCTGATCTGTGACAAACTAACAACCAACTCTTGTGTGTCTTATATGAGTAGAGTTACTATTTCAGACAGCAATAACGCTACCAAGGGCGGCTGTTACAGTAAGGCTGATCTGTGGATAACACCACCATCGGTGGCGGTGCTACCCGCACATTTTTGGAGGGCGAAAAATGCAAGACTTGTTTTCAATGTCTGTAAGTAGCGAAAATTTATAATGAAGCGCTGGGAACTTTTCCAACATGTAGGAAAACATCCCTCCTTTCACATGAATGCACAAGAGCTTCGTTTTTACTACGCATCTCAGCTCGGAGAGCAGAAATGCTTTTAAGGTGGCGGTGCTCCCCCCGCTTCCCCTACTTAACTGAATCGTTTAGTAGCTTTTGATTGGGCACTGCCCACGTTGTCTGTCAAACTTTTCGTGTCAACGAGAAGAGGCTGCTGACATCGTTTGTCGCGGTTAGATAATACCAATCCACGTCTCAGTGTGGCTGCTCGATCGCACTTTCCCTGGCCCACCTCTCTCACCAGGCTAGGCTATGCCCGGCACAGCCGTCGCCTCAGTGCCTCGGGCGGTGACCCGTTCAAAGGGGCTCACAATTCGTATGGTGCCGTGGCTCTCAAACCAACACAGAACAGTGAAACGCACAGGCTTACCTTCCATATAAGGCGAACGGCCGATTCTGGCGCCGGGGCTTCATTCATGCTAAAGCGCCCAATCACAGCGCCGCATTTCAGTTAGTGTCGGGCGCAAAAACTACTATGCTCCGCCCCTCCATCACGTGACCCTGCCCTCACGTGGCCTCAGTCACGTGGTGTTTCCACTTCTTGGCGCATGGCGGCGCTAGTCTCGCAAGGGCGGTGGTAGCTTGCTCCCCCGCCGTCCGGGGGTGATGGGTAGCAAGTGCTGGTGACTGTACTAGGCAAAATACTGATGATTTTGCCCCAAAGTGGGGTTTCTACCCTTTTGAGCAAAAAACAAATGTACTGTACACTCGTGATCGTCTGGTGGTTTTATATAAGGATCCTGACGGCTGACTGAAAGATCTCCATCACTTTTCATTTTAGGCAAAACGGTCGTCATCCACTGCCACACCAAGCTTTTAGAGCACCCGATGACTGCAGTGGGGTTGGGACCGTTCTGTAGACACTCACTTGGAGAGTATGAGCTCGTTGAGAGGCGGTAGCTGCTCCTCCTCCTCCCCATCCTCTCTCCGGGGGCCGGGTAGAGGACGGGACTTGGTATCCACGGCGATCAGCGTGGGACGCTCCAGGTGCGCCTCGTCACCGGTGTAGTAGTGCAGGTCGAATCTGCGGTATAACGAGCGATACCGGGTCAGAGAACAATTGGCCTAACTTAGTGACAAAACGACTTCAAGGCGAGGGCTTGTGTTACAAATAATTTACCACATACATTGAAACTTATATTCGATATTTAGAGCGCAATTTGTGAGAAAAATCGTAAGTATCTTGTTATGCTCTCTGACTGTCCTTTCTACCTCGTAGTCTCTCGTTTGTTCTCTATTGCGTAGCCTCTCATCCATGCTCTGCCTCTGTCCTGTAGTCCGTCACCTGTGCTCCCTTGGTCCCTCACCCTACTCCCATTAGTCTCTCACCTATGCTCTGCCCCAATAGTCCCTCACCTATGCTCCGCCCTGTAGTCCCTGGTCAGCTCTCTGTTCAGGTGGAAGATGACGCCGTACTGTCCGTGGCAGCAGGTCAGCCAGATGGGCAGCAGCGGCGTCTTCAGCCGGGAGCCGACCTCTGTCCTCAGCAGGTCGGCAGCCGCTTCCTCCCACAGCAGGAAGCCCACGTCACTGCGCTCCGGCACGCCGTGCAGGGCCACCTGTCGAGTCACGTGATAACAGAGATGTAGCCTACGATACGAGAGAGTTCTAATGCACGCTGTTGTCATGGATGAGTCCGTCTAACATTTTACCTTTTTATGTTGGCATACACACTACAGGTCAGCTGTGGAATCATAAGTCTGGTGATTGGCAAAATATGCGTCAATGATCTTTTACGGCATATACTGTATCACGCATTGCAACATTTACACATTTACGGCATTACGCTGAAAATTGGGCTCCAAGCTGTGACTTACCCAGTCTCTGGTTTGGGCCCTGGCTTGCACGTGTCAAAGCTCTCGTTCACATTGGCTCAAAGCTTTGGCTCAGCTTTAGCTCTGAACTCTGTCTCACCTTGGCTCCTGCCTCGAGCTGCCGCCATACGATGCCGTTGTGCAGGTGAGGTGACGCCTGGCCGGTCAGAACCAGACTGGTGAGGCTGTGGCTCACCAGTCCACCGGAGGTCAGCAGTGACGGCTGTGCCTCACCGAGGTCATCAGAGACCCTGTGATAGGTCATAAGGGTCATCAGAGACCCTGTGATAGGTCATAAGGGTCATCAGAGACCCTGTGATAGGTCATAAGGGTCATCAGAGACTCTGTGAGCGGTCATCCGGGTTGAGACAGGTCACCCGGTCCATGAGGCACATGCAAGAGGTCACCGGGTCATCAGGTACATGTGGCAGGTCGCCAGGTCATCAGGCAAATGTGAAGTCAGCCGACACCGGCCATTTGTCATCGAGCATCCTCCCGTCAGAGTTACAGCAAACATTCGATGACGACCGGAAGGTCACCCAGACCGGAGCAGTTCATTCCAAAGGTCAGTGCTGAACTGCGCGTTTTCCAGCATCGAATTCCAAAACACCAGACACCATACAGCAGATGTTCGTTATCGGTAATAAACATTTATTTCACTTACATAGTTCTGTTATCCAACAGCCTCCCCAAATACAAAATGTAGTTTGATGAGATGCATTAGGCACCCATTTATGTGTGTAATGTGTACGTGTATATCGATACTGCATCGACTAGTTCGTTTGGTTTAGGATATGCGACATGCATCCAATAAGTAGAAATGCATCGAGTTAGTAGAAACATACATTAGGGGAGAGCGGGGCCAGTTGAAACACGGGGTCAGATCAGTGGCGGCGGAAGGTAATTTTGGATGGGGGTGCAAAGTTTTCTCAAGGGGCCCCTCTGGAAGTTTTGGGCCCCTTCAGTTTTTTTTAGTGATTAGGTATTATTGACTTATGAAAAACGAAGATTTTGGGAAACTATCCCCATGGCCCATACACACAAGTTCTGTAAAAGGTTTGAAATTGCAGTGTACCTACCCGTCTCAAATAATGAAAGCATAAAGAAGCAAATGCAGCTAGTTTTGTATCAGCTAATCTTTTAGTCTAGTCACCACCCGCAGCGTCTCAAACCACTTTTCTGGATCCGCAGTGGACCATTGAGGGCCCTACGAGACCGTTCCAAGAAGACCGTGTTTAGAAGCCCCTTGGAAACCGACCACATAGAGACTCCTCCAGAGATCTACATGACTCCCCAGACTGAATGAGCCCTCCGATCAGGGTCGGTCCCTTGAAAGTTGCTGAAAGGTTTCAGAAGGCAGTATAGGCTCGAAAGTCTTTAAGGGCTCTCAGAAACCGGCATCGGACCCCCAAAAAGCTTTTATGGAGGCCCTCCAAAGCCGGGATGGAGGCCACAGGAGCCGATGTTTAGCCTAAAGAGCCGGTATGGAAGACTGAATAGAGGAAAGGGGTCTCAGTGGGGTCTTCAGGGGCAAGCGTTTGAGCCCCAAAAGTATGTGTGGGGTCTTAGAGGCAGGTAGACCCCTGGGGTATGCATGGGGTCCCAGGAGCTCGCTTCGGCTGGCGGCTACTAGAACCAGCATGGGGATTCTTAGAAGCTGCTTAGACCCACATTTCATGGTTCATGAGTCCCAAGAGTCGATGTAAGGGCCATAAAAGCCGGTGTAGGGCCCATGGCCCCATAAGTTCCGACATTGAGACTCTCAGAGGCCGGCGACGGGGCACCAAGAGCAGATAAAGTGCCTCGACAAGCCGACATGGGGCTTGAAAATCTGTGTGGAATTCCAGGAGCCTGCGTGAGCTCTCGGAGACCTTCGTATTTCGTAAGGTCCACAAAGGTCGTTGGATCCTCTGAATCTGAACTCTGCGGGACCTTCAGAGCCCAGCATGTCTCCTGGCACCTGCCTGCGTTGAGTTGAGACCCTCCGACGCCGTCGTAGGGTTCTTCAGAGGCCAGCGCTGGCCCTTGAAGCCTTCGTTAGGCCCTCGAAGTCGTCAAGAGGGCCCTCAGAGGTCAGCACGGCCCCTGGAGCCTGCCTGCGTCGAGGCCCTCAGAGGCCGTCGTGGGGCCCTTAGACGCTAGTGTGGGCCTTTGGAGCTTGCGTTGGGTCTTAGAGACCATCGTGAGGGCCCAGAGAGGTCGTCGTCAGGGCCCTCAGCCCGTCAGGGACCGTCCTGGGGTCCTCAGAAGTTGTTGTGAGGGCCCTTAGAAGCCTTCGAGAGGGTCATCAGAGGTCGTCATGAGGGTCCTTGGCCATATTGAGGGTCTTCATGGGCCCTCAGATACCTTTGCAGGGGTCTCAGAGGCCTTGGTAAGACCGCTAGAGGCCATCTTTGTTAGGGTCCTCAATAGACCGTTGCAGAGCCCTCAGATGCCAGCATAGCTCCTGCAACCTGGTTGTGTTGGGGCCCTCAGAGGCCGTCGCTGGGCCGTCTGAAGCCAAATGGGCTCTCAGACTTGAGTTGGGTCTAGGGCCGTCACGAGGGCTCTCAGAGACCGTCGTAGAGGCCCTCAGAGGCCAGTGGGCCCCTGGAGTCCTGTGGGACCCTCAGCGGTCGTCTTGAGGGCCCTTAGTGGTCGTTATAGGGCCTCAGGGGATAGAGTTCGTCGTGAGAGCCCTCAGAGTTCATCGTAAGGGCCCTCAGAGGCCAGCGTGGCCCCTGGAGTCTCCTCGGGGCCCTGGAGTCTCTGTGGGACCCTCAGCGGTCGTCATGAGGGCCCTTAGTGACCGTTGTAGGCCCCCAGGGGACAAAGTCCTCAGGTGGGATCCCTCAGAGATCGTCATAAATGGGCCCTCTGAGGCCGTCGTGGGGGCCCTCAGATGCCGCGTGGAGCACCAAACGCTCTCGGGACACTTCTAGCCGGTGTGGGGGCCCCAAAGACTAGCATTGGGCGCTCCTGATCATAATTGGACATCCCGGATGATTCCAGATCAGTGTTCGTTTCCCGATCACTGGTTTTCAGGAGAAAATTGCATTGGATGGTGCGACGGGCCCCTTGTACGGATTTTGGGGATGCAAAAAGATATGTTTGCACCCCCATGTTTTTCGATGGGGGTGCAGCTGCACCCCCTGCACCCCCTATTCCGCCGCCACTGGGTCAGATGAAACATGGCTTTATTTTCAACAGTATGCAACATATGGCGTTGCCGACACCACTGCGCATCCGCGCTCGACCACTTCCTTTGTCAACGGCGTTTGGGCGGCAAACGGACGGTAATTTTGATTTGACACTTGTTTTTTGTGTTTTTGAGGGGCGTTTGGGAGAAGTCATTTTTATGAATATTTTGTGATATCTCATATACCTTTGTTTGCTGAAAGAAGAACTCCTGGCTCCGGAATAACACCTTATTTGGCCCTTCATTCAGCATGATGCCGTCCCTCCAGGTTCTGCGACACCTGAGCGAGCGTCATTTCAGCGAACGACATTTGAGCGAAGCCTTTTCAGCGATTATCAATTTAAGCGATTGACTTTTTCAGCGATTGTCAAGTCGGCGAATTCAATCACAGCGATTATCAACTTAAGCGAGGACCAGAATAAGCGAAACCAGATTGAGCGAATATATGGAGGTCAATGGGGGACCAATTGAGCGAACACAGTTACAGCGAAACCGAACGCGACGGAAGTCAATCATTTGCTACTTTTCCCTTGGAATACCCGCTTGGTATGTGTCATGCTTCAAGCTGCGCGCGGCAAATTAAAAATTTGCTTTTTAAGCTTGGAAACCACAAAAATATCTGGCCTCATTCTGCAACCTTGATCTGGAAATGTGGAACGTGAGAGATAGGACGATGGAAGGAATACCAAGGACCAATTATAAACTCGAGGGATGGCACAGGGGGATCCAGTCTATGTTTCAGGGACCTCACCCAAATATCTGAAAATTCGTACGTTGCTTAGGGCAAGAACAAATTTTACAACATGGGGAACTGATCCAAACTGAAGCGGGGGAATTTCGCGAAAAACAGCACAAGCAATATGAATCTCTGAACAAACGTTTGGTCATCATTATTGATTGGCAAACAGCAGGGGGGGGGGGGGGGTGAAATCGAACCGCTGAAATTTTTGAGAAATGTGGCATTAAATTTGGAGCTTAATGTCTGAACTTTGCACGTGACATCCGCCATCCAGTTCCGGATAACCAGGAAAAGTTCCGGAAACATTCGTTGTACGTACGCTCGCAAAAGAAAAAAGAAAAAATACACCGTTACGGGACGATGAAGTGTTTCGCTGAAATGACAGTCGCTCAAACTGTAGTCGACGAAATAGATGTCGCTGAAACATAGCTTTCGCTTAAATTGATAATCGCTATATTTGATAATCGCTCAATTTGATATTCGCTAAGTTGCCAGTCGCTGAAAATGGTTCGCTCAAATGACGTTCGCTCAAATGACACTCGCTAAAGTCGCTCGTACCGGTCCCTCCAGCTCGTTTGACATGTGCTTTACGGCGCGTGCGAGATGGCGGGAGCGGATGGGGTCAATTGAAACACTTCTCTGAGAGTCAGTTGAAACAGGGCCACAGGCCGTTTCAATGGACCCCGGTGACCTTTGCAATGGTTATTGTTCAGGGGCTGTAAACATTAAAGGAAATAGTCTACCTTTGAAATGAGCTTTTAAACTGAAATAGTAGTTTCATAGAGCTCAATTTTTGACCCCTTTTTCTCCAGCCTTTTGCTTGAAAGCACACTATAGCCTGAGATATTTCTCATTTTCCTCATCCGCCCATTTTACCATAGTCTATGTACTTTATGTCACCTATTATGAGGAACTTTGCACTTTTAGCTTTCCAGCGACCTATTGAATGTAGCATTTGGAAAAGTAAACCGGACAAAATATCTCCTTAAGAAAGTGGCCTTAAAGAGGAAAACATCCCATTGTTAAGGATAGGTGCAATTGACCCCATGGGCTGGTTCAATTGACCCTCGCATCGGGGTCATTTGAAACGGGCGTAGAGCTGTTTTATAAGCATGCGTTTGGCAGCAAAATATGTTTGAAACACAATTTTACATATCTAAAAATAAAGCCAAAAGAGCATATTTTTTCATGGCATTGTGCATTTTTCGATATGACAACTAGATCTCGCTGTGCATGTCAATATATAAAAAGTGGTTCAACTGGCCCCGCTCTCCCCTATGCATACCCACATAGTACGCATTCCGCGCAAGTATGGTCATGCATGTATATGTACA